TGCTGAAGGAGACGGATGTGTGATACGGTTGCTACAGATTTCACGCATTAATCTATAAAAATTAGACATTCACGAACGCGCATTGATCATTGATTACGTAAAGATGCCCAAATAGTAATTTTTCTCAAAACTAAGGTGTGTACTAAGAGTTATATCTCAATCTTTATTACTTTCTCTTTGATGATTTCATTCGAATAAAGATAAATAATTATACATTTTTTAAATAAACGTAAACGCAAACATTTTTAAAATTATAAAACACTTTGAACTGAATACAATATATAATCTAATATATAAATTAGAGATCTAAGAGCGATATTCATAGTCCGTTCTTATTTCAAGACTGTCTTAAGTAGTGTCTAATACTTTCTGATTTGTGATTTCTTAAAATTGTACTTAAGACAGTCTTAAATATAAGCTCTGACATACTGTGAATACCGGCCTAAGATACAGATGAGTTGTGCGCGTACTAAATTAAAGAAATAGAACATAAATCGCACAATAAAGCATCGCGTAATATTCATCGAAGAATATTAAAACGTAACGAATAGATTGTTTTACTAATTTTGTATTATACGTTAATATTTCGACAGTTAGATGATCGGCGCGCGACCTTGAAGTGGGGATGGCACGGGGTGGCACGGGCGGCGTGTGATGTTTACGTGTCGTTATCGCGCAGTTATTCACTTACCGAAGCTCGTACAGGCAGGTAGCTTGTGAAAATAAGGTCAAAGCAGATAAAAGGGCTATATCTTTTCTACATTTCTATATAGCTGATGTCTGTAAGATACGATTAAAGTCTAGACTGAAATAGGCTAGAGATTAATAAAGAAGAGAAATGTTTCTTTTATTACCGATAAATAGCTCCAAAGTTACGGTTAATTTTTAAACGGATCGTATAACGAAAGGTGTACAAAAACAAAAAATTAATTAAATTATTAAACTGTATCAATTGTGAAAGCAGGAATTGTGGCTTTTTCGCATGAGAGTATTCATATTAAAATGATTTTTTATGACTCGTGTGTGATAGCATTCGTACAGACAAGTAGCCGTGTCGCGTGCCGTTCTTCTTCACATTTTTTTTAAAGTATAATCGCGAAAAAAAATTGAAATTTGAATAAAATTGTTCTCTTCGTGTAAAAATCCAACGGGGAAGCGTACGTATCCTCGTCGCCGACTTGAAAATGAACGAACCGCAACCGGTTCGTCGCGTCGCGCATTTTTTCGGGAGTGCCGTTTAAGTTATCGGACTTAAGTTGTAGTCCGCGCACGATTGTAGTGTATTATTCGCGAGTGTTGTACGCGAGTGTCCTGTGCAAGAGGATAACCATATTCTGAGAGGAGGAGGAGGTCTAGGAGAAACATCGGGCACCAGTGGAGCAACCTTGCGGTAAATATTATTTTTTATTTGTGTAAAATTAACCTTTTCTGCTTGTTTTTAAGTCATTTTATTTAACAGTGATTTAAAAAATGATTGTTTTTATATCACATTGTTAATAAAATGATTTAAATAGTTATATATTTTGTAAAATAATTATATAAAATAATTATATATTCTCTAAAGAAGATCTTAGCAAAAATAATTTTGTATAAAATTTTTAAGTAATTTTTAAGTAACTCTCCTTTTAT